GTGAGCTGGGCAGGGCTCGGTGGCGGCGGCCCCGGGCGGCGGCGGCGGCGGCGGAGGAGGAGGGAAAGTTGCAGGAACCGGTGGGCGGCCCGACCCGCCTGTGGCCCGGCCCGGCCCGGCCCGCCGCCGGGACCCGGCCCGCGGGAGCGCCCTGGTCGCCCGAGCGCCTGGCCGGAATTGAGTGGGGCCAGGCCGGGGTGCAGCCCCGGAGCCGGGGATCCCCGCCCGCCGCTCCTGTTGCTCATCCCCGAGTTCCCAGTGCGGTGGCACCGGGGCGAGCCGCCGCTCCGTGGCCGACCCGGGGGACGGAGCCGTGTCAGGCAGCCGTGGGGCTGCCCCGGGGTTTGGGTGGGAGAAACCGCGCGCTGAGCCCCGGGGGCGGCTGGCCCGGCTGCTGGGACCGGAGCCGGGATGCGGGGATCCGTGGCTCCGTGAACAGCCAGATAAATGCAGGCAGTGCCCTCTAACCGTGCTGCGAGCGGGCGAGTGGCACAGAACCAAGCTGGCGTCCTGCGTTGTGGGGTTCAAACATAGCTCAGGTTTGCGTGGAGGAGTGCAAGGCTYCCCGTGATGGGTGCTGGTCACTTGATGCCTGGCCCGTGTTGGGGAGTGGTGGACAGCCACACTCGGCTTTCCCTGTGYTCCTGGGATGGAACAGGGAGTGAGAGCAAGTGGTTGAGATGAAGTGTGAYTTGAGAGRAAGAAAACAGTTGTAGTATCCWTAGAGCAACTTAAAGGGAMATTACTACCATTACCAGTGTCAAAAAACTTAGTTTCTGGGAAGATAGTGTGACTTTAATTAAACTAAATTGAGTTGCTTTGTAAGTATTGATTATTTCAGTCGTATTCCACACAATTCTCCAGCTGTGCAGAGTTAGTCTAGTGATAACATCTATTAGGTTGTTGAAGAATGAAAAACCTACAGGTCRCACCACCAATGTGACTGCTCTTAAACTGTGCCTTGTGTTTGGTGGGATGGATGACATTAATGTCTGGTTTCAGTAAGTTTTTCATGTTACTACACCGTGGTTCCACTGTTAGCACTAAAATGTTCTGTGTTAGTAGTGATAGGAGTGGTGTGAGAGAAGGATTAATGCAGATTCTTTGGATCCAAAGCAATTTTGCCTTGACCAGTGCTAGCAAGGTAATTCRATGAGTATTTCTACAGTATAAGCCATCCACTCATGAAGAAATCACTGGACCACAAGGCACTGTGCATGTTGTCTGTCAAAAGCTGTTCTGGCCATGTGAAATTCTTCTTTTTACAGAATTAGAATCCAGTTTATTCTTTTGTTTGTTTTTTTTTTTTCTTTCTGAGTCAACTGTGATGACTTTTTGGTGGAAAGCCTGAAAAAGTACACATAGGGGTGCAGAGGGTTTTGAAATGACACGCCAGCCCGTGATGCAGCAGGATTTCCTGGTGAGCAGGAGCAGGGGGTCTGACATCAGGGTTATGATTAATCTGAAAGGATGTGATTTTTACTGGCTGCTCAACAGGGAGTGTGCAGTTGAAATTTTTACTTGCTGCTGCTGATGGACACATGGATTAACAGCATTGGGAGTGGGTAGTGGTACTGAAGCTTTTCTGAAGCTGGGTGAACAGTTAGTGCCAGTTCTGGAGGTTCAGAGCGCCTCATCTACCCCCCCTGTATTCAGAGGTCCTCAGCCGATAGTCCAGTGCTTCCTGACACTTTACAAAGTTGATCAGTTCACTATGAGGCAAAGTATTGATGGCCAAATGTCCACCCCCRGTGTGCTGTGGTCCGAAGTTGTGAGGGCAGCTGAAACCCTGACACTGGAGCCGTGCAACTCTGAGCTTGTCAGCTGCTGTCCCTGTCTATGCTGGCCCTTCATGTTGTGCAGACTTTATGTGACTYCTTCAGATGCAGTGTACCCTTGGGAGTTGAGAAGGTTTGTGAACATTGTTGTAGCTTGTATTTGGATGCATTGACAAAATTCATTCCTTGGGATGATCAGAAACTCAACAAGTGAATATTTTTTATTTGAAAGAACATGTACCTCAAGTTTGTGCTGTGGAATCTCTTGTTTCTTTCCCTTAGTTGCAAAGACATGCTCTGGTACAAGCTGGCTAAATACTGGTAATTTAAATACCATTTTAGCAGGCAAGTGAGCCCATAGAAATGTAAGGATGCAGTGAGAGAAATGCTGAATTTTGATGACTTTCTAAGGAGAGTCCTTTTACTGGAATGAGAACATGCCTTTATGATAACATTGTGGTTTGTTTTCTGGYGACATGCACCAAAGCCTCTCACAGCCTGCTGAAAATTCCAAAGTATCCCATGGTGGTAACCCAGTTCTGTGGTTACCACAAGACATACTCAAAGAGGCAAACTACTGCAGCAGTGTTAAAGCCTGAATTTGGAGGCAGCACTGCTGSATGGCTGGTTGGCCTCTTTGGGATCTGGCTCTCCCTGTGCTGCACCTTGGAGTGCCCAAGTGTTGGGATGAGGCTCTGGCTTCTGGTGCTTGGGGGCAAACCCAGAAGGTGATGCTGAATCTGGTGCCAAGATAAAGAAGTACCTTACTCAAATCTGGTGTATTTACTTCAGGACTTAAAATGCCAGCCCACATACTTCCTGCTTTTTTAAAAGTTTTGGGGATTTACTTGTAGTCACTCTCATTTATCTGTGGAGCTCTGAAACTCCCATTGCASATTGTCATCTCTTGCCTGCAATACCACTGTGTCTGCTCATTTGGCTAAAAATAGAAAGGAGCAGAGTTGGTTTTCATTCTYGGAGAAGAAAGGGAAATCCTACAAAGTTTGAGTTCATGAGCAGATAACTGTTTTTTCTATTCAGGGATATGCAGTATTTTGCTTTTCCATAGTGATGTAATTTTGTTGGTTTGGTTGTTCAGTATGTGATCAGAACACAGAAACCTGTTTCTTTGTTCCCTTAGAAAATAAGTGGTTTAGAGAGCRTTATTATGACCCTTGTGCAACTTTCAGTCTCAAAGTGCACTTTCAAAAGTAAGTGTTGTTTTGTGAAGGTGCACTCTGATTATTTTTAGAGGCAAACCCCACCTTCAGCTGGCTGAAAGGGCTGAACGGGAAGAAYTGCTGAGGGAATCCCGTCCTTAGCTGTGATTTTTGTAGCTGCTTTCTAATTTGATATCTGACATGTCCTATTGCAAGTCTGACTGTAGGCAATGATTGCAGCWTTTTACAGCTCTTGTGTCACTGTGAGAGAATACCAGGAACTCAGGTGCTCTCCCTGTGGTTTGAAGGAACTGTGCTCCTGCCTTTAGCAGCTTTGCCACATTTCCTTGTTTGCATCCCTGCAGGCATTTTAGTATTTTGGAAAATGCTTTTTAATAATAACAGTGTGCTTGAGATAGCAGGATGCCTCAGACAAAAGAGATTTGTCAGGGCCCAAACAGTGTCACATGTGTCCTGTTCTGAACTGTAAGTTCAACATGAACTTGGTAAATTTGGTAACTYTGCTTTAATTTGGAATATTTGGGGAGAAAATGCCTTTTGTTAAAYGCAGGTAATTCTACATGAGGTACAAATGGTGCAGATACAAGGCTTTTCATGCCCTCAGGCYCCTGGCTTTGGTGGGTGCTGCTCTCTGTGCCCAGAGCTGGGAGCACTGGCTGGCCAAGGCTGCTCATCCTGCTCAGGGGTGATTTGCGTCTGAAAAGAGACAAAAAGTCTCCACGTGTTGTGGTGCCACAGGCTCTCAGCCACAGTTGTCAGCATTATTAGACATGAGGGCTTCATGTGGGAGTGTATTGTGAGCTCCAGTCACAGAATTCTTAATCATTTATTTCAGAATTAGCAGCAGGAGGTGGAATTCTTAAGCCCTTGAGCTGAAGGGGCAGGTTGTTTCAGGTGGTTCAAAAGTAATGTTTTACTAGAAAGCAGCRTGAGGCAACATCCAACATCCAACTGTGTTCCTCACTGTGCAAGGTTTCAGCAGCAGTTATTTATTCTGTAAATAAATGTAGTGAGTTTATATTCTGTAAACTCTGCATATAGCAGGCTTCTGTTGTATTGGCAGGTTAGCTGAATGAAAACAGTGTTGACAGATTGTTCAGCTCAYAGGAAAAAGAGATTTCCTTGTAGAGTTACTTAGGGGTTATCCTGTGTGTCAGAAATGYTTCTGAATGTCAAATATTTTTCTACAATAAAATAATAAAAATCAAAACAATTCATCTTGGATACATTTTTACATACTAGAGCATAGTATGTGGTGGTGTTTTTTGAAACCAGAATCAAATAAACAGCTGAGTATTTGTTTGGTCTCCCCCACATGAGGGTTTCTCTCTCTCCTTTTAGGGTTAGAATCCCCAAGGACCTGGAAGATACCAACGTGTTTGTGTTTATAAGTGGAAATTGAAACTTCGTTTGCAAATGGGTAATGACTTCCATCTTAAATGCATGCTCRGTGTGCCAGTTTTGCATTTTTAATTTCTAGATCTGTTCATGAAGAGCACATGAGCACTGGTTGTTGCCAGTGGAATTGCACAAGATGGTTGAGAGGAGTCTGTCTGCACAGAGGCACAGCTCTCCCTTCCTTTGAGCTGCTGTGGCTTGACCTTCCCTGGAGCTGAGCTCCCTACCAGGCAAACTGCTCTGTCTGGGAGGGGAGGGAGATGTTCTGCCCACTGAGTGAAGTGAGTCAGACTGTCAATCAGGAGTTGGGAGAGGTGATGCAAGGTCAGTGGCAGGAATACTTTTGGAGAAAAATGGTCCTGGAGATGGGGATCCTTCAGGTGGGAGGATCAGGCCGGCTCAGCTGGGTGTGYCTGTGCTGGCTGTGGGTGTTCAGGGTGGAGCCCATGGCTCTGTGTGAAGTTGGGGTTCTGTGGGTAGCTCTCACCTCCTCTCAATGCCCCCTGGCAGCTCTGCTGTCTTCACCTGTGTTTAATTCTTGCCTTCTTGGGACTGCTCCTGCCTGCCTTTCCAGAGCTGCTGGTGCCATCAGCACATTGGTGGCACTTTCCTTTTCTAGATGGAAGTGTCCCAGTCTGGCCCTCAGCTCACCCTGGCAGTMTCACAGGGTTGTTTGGGTCGGAAGGGACCTTTCACACCCTCTTGTTCCACCCCCTCGGGACACCTTCTGCTAATGAGGTTTCTCCAAGTCCTGTGCTCCTGTGGGACTCCCCTGGTGGCCTTCCTGTATTGTCAGAGRTGACCACTTGGTTGCTCTTTGTTTCCTCTCCTCACCAGATAACCTGTTCATACAACGCCTGTTGTTGCCATGGCAGCTTCATTTCTTGAAGGGCCTTTTGGGAAGAATCTTTTGAAATGTCTCTTGGAAATTCAAGCAGGCTTTGGCAAGTACAGCCCATTGATGTGTGTGTGAGGGAGGGCCTTGAGAGARCTCCTCTAGGTTTGTGGGACTTGGCTTTCCTGTACAAAAGGAAGGTTGATTTCCCTGTCTAAATGCTGTAGTTTATTTAGCTGCTGCAGATCTATTTTCTAGAATAGTTTCTACTAAATTAGGCTCACTAGAGTGTAACATCAGAGTGTTAGGTGAGAGTGAGCACAATTATAAATTGTGCTCAAGAGTAAGCACTGCTTCAAAGAGTAGAATTTTATTTTGAAGGCTGTTTTTTTTCTGGTTCACTTAGGTGGTTTCTTTGGTGTCTGATAGTTTTGTTTTTCCCATATCCTTACTTTAATAGGACATTGCTTGTGGGAGAGGAATTAAAAATCTCTCTTCTAAGAAATGATGGGGTTTTTTTTTTTTTAAATAAAGAGGTACTTACATGTTTTGGGATCTCTGTTTTCCTGAGTTCAGTGGAAATTGGTGCATGCMCTGATAATTGCTGAGAGTGGAGTTGGAGGAAAGGACAGAGAGAAGGATATGCACACAGAGTATGCTCCTGTGGGCCTGTTCCTGTTAGATACTGCTTTTAAAGAAACCCAAACAAAACATCAGGGTTACAATGAACTGTAAAACACATCATGTGGCACAGGGAGTGCAAATCAGCACTGCACAGTTCTTTGCACAGAGCTGAGGCTGGAGGAGCTGCCTTCCTTTGGCTGTTTCCAAACTGTGCTCAGCCATCTGCAGCCCTTGTGCCCTGTGTACAAAGTGCTCTGGGAAGRGCAGGGAGAGTGGAGAAGGAGAGCTCCAGTGGGAAGGGAAGCTCTTYCCCAGGCTTGGCCACAGGTTTGGGTATTCTGCCTTTTGAGTAACAAATCGTGGCTTGTTTACTTTTCACCTCCTTTCACCTCCCCGATTCCTGTGTTTCCCTTAAGCTCTTTGGGGCTTTCTCTGTTTTAGCACTAGCTGATTGTTCTGCTTGTATTTACATAAATCAAATAGAGTTCAACTATAATATTCACAATTTCTCATCCCTGTAGGAAGGGTCGATGTAGCTGGTCAGAAGAAATTGCATAATTTTTGTGGRTTTGTGCATCTCTTTTGCTTCCCCATTCAGAAAATTGTTTTGGTTTTTTTTTATGTTTTGTTTCTGTGAGCTTCATTTGGAACAGTTTTCTCTGACAAAGCAATAAGATGGAGCTRAAATTTAATTCCTGCTTCAAAATGGTCTAGGGAAGGTTTGAATACTAATTATTGTGTTGTTGTACAAGATTCTGGACATGTTCAGAAGCCGGAGAGGTGTGTTTTAAACTTTTACACTTACCARAAGGAGCCAGAAAAGCTGCTTGTTTTTGCTTTGCAAAGGAAAAGGTTTTACATACTCGGGTTCATGTTGGTGGAACTACAAAGCACCAGTATCAGGGACAGAGCCCACTGGTGTGGGGGCTTATGGAAATCCTGTTGCCAGGAGGTGTCTGTTGAACTGGTAATTTCTTATCTTTGAGGTAAATGTGAATGCTATCTCCATTAGAGCTGGGAGGACAAGCCTGTTCCATTGGTATGCCTTACTATTCTGATTTCTCATTGCTGGWTGTTGGTTCAGAGCTGTTGGTG